AAAGACTTAAAAGATATTTAAATAACTTTATACATTCAGATCAAAATGGGTTTCTGCCAAAAAGACAAATTAGAGACAATATGAGAATAATTCTGGACACTTTGGAATACTATGAAGTCCATTCGAAAAAGTAAATGGCTTTGATATTTTTAGATGCACAGAAACTTTTGATAACGTAAATTGGCATTTTACGTTGCTTCAAATGGGCTTTGGCAGAAAATTCATTCAAGCAATAGAAGCTATATATTATAAACAAATGGCAAAAGTAATGATAAATGGAGAATTGACAGACTCTATTGAGATAAAAAAAGATACTAGACAAGGTTGTCCATTGTCCCCTCCGTTGCTTATATTAACTTTAAAAGTGCTAAATAGAAGTATAAGAGAAGAAAAAGACATAAAAGGAATGAAAATTCAAAAAAAAAGAATATAAATTGCAAACATTTGCTGATGACCTGGTCTTTATTCTTGAAGATCCATTAATATCAATAACTACATTGTTAGATAAAATTGGAGAGTTTGGGAAAGTAGCTGGTTTGAAAATCAACAAAGAGAAAATGAAAATTTTGACCAAAAATGTGTTGATAAAACAAAAAGAAAAATTGGCGGATATATCAAAAATGCAGGTTACAAATAAAGTTAAATATTTGGGGAAATACTTGACAGCAAGATGTAGCACGCTTAAAGAAAATAATTATAATAAACTTAAACAACAGATAGGGACAGATTTGACGAAATGGGAAAACTTACAGCTTTCTTTGATTGGAAGGATAACAACTATTAAGATGAATATTTTGCCTAGAATTTTATATTTGTTCCAGACAATTCCAATTAGACTGGGGAAAGACTTTTTTGAAGAATTGAATAAAATGGTGTTAAAATATATTTGGCAGGGAAAGAAGGCGAGGATAAAATTAAAGTTGCTACAAGATGCTAGAATGAGAGGGGGTTTTGGCCTACCTAACTGGGAACTTTATTATCAAGCGAAAAGTTTGATGTGGATTAAAAAATGGATAACATTAAGAAATACTAGATTGTTGAATTTAGAAGGTCATGATTTGTTGATGGGGTGGCTTTATAAGGGAACAAAAATACAGCGGCATTTTAGAAGACACCATATACGTGAGGCTTTGTTATTAAATTGGGAGAAGGTCAAAAAACAACACTGTTTGAAAATTCCAGTCTGGGTATCAACGATTAAAGCATTTTCATATTCAGTAATATTTAGAAGAGAACAAACTGTTAGATACAGTGAATTAATGGATGGAAAGGGTGAACTTAAATCAAAGCAAGAACTGGAAGAACAAGGTTTTAAATGGATTGGTTTTCTTATTTGCAAATACATTCTAGATATGAAGAAGATTATAAACAAGAAGGTTTTTATAATGTCTTGACTAATTTAGATAAGATTTTAATGGGGTCTGATGATTATGTAATTAAAAAATTGTATGGTTATTTATTAGAGGTAAAATTGGAAGAGGAACAAGTTAAAGAAACAATGATAGCATGGGGGGAAAATTTTGGTCATGGGAGTGATCTAGAGAAATGGCAAAAATTATAAAATGACAATGTCTACAGCATATAAGGAGAATTTGTATAAGATGTTTTACAGAATGTGGCATTTACCCCCGACGAGAATAGCCAGAATGTTCAAGAACAAATCGGAGAAATGTTGGAAATGTCATCAGACTCCACGATCATATTACCATATGTGGTGGACATGTGCAGAAGCTAAAAGATATTGGACTAAAATCCACACGTGGTTGGAAAAAATGACAAAGAAACACATTGACTTTAAACCAGAAATATTTTTATTAGGGATTTTACCAGAAACGTATAACAAAGAACTGAGATATTTAATTGTGAATGTTTTAACAGCTGCTAGAATTGTTTTTGCTAAAAATTGGAAAGGCGAGAAGATACCTACTGATGATGAAGTTATTAAGAAAATTATGGACTGTGCTGAAATGAGTAAACTGACATTTGAAATTAGAGAACAGAAAGAGAGACAATATTATTTGATTTGGGATTTGTTTTACCAATGGCTAGACAATAAAGCATGGAGATGAAATATGAAATTAATGTAATGATAAAATATATGAAGTGTTTTCTTATGTTAAATAATGTTTAAATGAGTATAATAATATAAAGGGATATATAAAACTGTTGAATAAGAGAAATTAAATAATTGGTAATTTTGGATATGGGATCGTGCACAAAAGAATTTTAACTGATCGACACACTGTCTGTGATTGTATTTGAATGATGGTGGTTTTATGTTTTGTTTTTGTTTTAAATAAAAAAATAAATTAAAAAAAAGGTTGAGTGAAATGGGTGCCCCTTTGTATTGTCCCAGCTCAACGCTGAATACGTCAGCGTATTGTTGGCATACCACTTCTAGATCAGCTATTTGGGTTTGATGAATGCCCATTACCCTGATGCCCAGGGCCTTGAACCAGTCCAGTCCTATGAGGCTGGTGTGTGGCCCCTCTATGACCACTACGCTGAGGGGACCCTTGAACTTTCTAAATTGTACCTTAATGATAGCTTCGCCCCTTACAGGAACATGGCGATTCTGGAAGTCCGTTAGCACTAAATTCAATTATTTGAGTGGTACTCGCCATCGGTTACATTTGCAAATGTGATCGAAAGTCATGGACGATATAATAGACAGGGCCGATCCTGTATCAATCTCCATGGAGCATGGAACCCCTTGAAGTTTTAATTGGAGTTTTATCTTTTCTTTGATGGAGTGTTGGGCCCCTGTGCGTTGGATGCTACGCCTTCCCAAGCAGTATTCAACTCAGTTCTGTCTTGGGGGCCTTTTCCACTTGTGCTGCTATGTTGCAGGTTTCATTTCCCCCTGATGACCTCTGCAAACTCTGGCAATGTGCCCTTGCTTCCCACAGGCACGGCATACAGCTCTATGGAATCTGCACTCTGCTCTTTCATGTTGTCCCCCACAGCTTGAGCAGCTCTGTGGGGGAGTTACTTTCTCTGTGGAGTGTGGCTATCTGGGTGTCTCTCTCCACAAGTGGTCAATTTTGTCGGTCTCACTGATCTCCTCCGAGCCTTCTGTGGTCTCTTGGTGGGTCGCTGTGGGGCTGGTGTGTGTTTTTGGTGACCAAAGAGTTTCTCCATGGTGAATAGGTGCTGCTGTAACTCACTATTATGCAGGCCACAAACAAGTCTGTCTCTGAGACAGTCTTCAAGATCAGGAAATTCACATTGGCATGAAGCTTGGCGAAGGGCTGCCACAAACCCTGCTGCAGATTCCCTGGATCTCTGTTCTCATTGCTCAAATGCATGGCACTGGGCAATGACCGAGAGTCTAGGCTCAAAATGTTCCTTTAATTTTTTCTTGAGGTCTGCGTAGGCCACTGTCGCTATGCTTGCCGGTGCTACCATGTTTTCAGCGATATCAAACGTGGCTTGTCCACAGATACATAACAGGGTTGCCGCCTTCAGGCTGTCATCTGTAATCTGGTTAGCCTGGAGATAGTTGTCTACTCGGGAGACGTATGAGCTCCACTGTTCCAGGTGGAGCTCACTGACTCTTCCCAGTTTAGCCATTTTGAGAAGGTCCCTGTGATGCTGGTTAATGCCTGTCTTACTGCAGATGGAGTTAGGAGTCCTGGGGACCGATCCCTCAGGTGCATCTGTGCCTCCAGTGTGTTTTACTGGCAGGCAGGGTGGGTAGCATGGTCCCACCAGGGCTTTTTACCTGGTCTGACACCCAGTGATTTCAGTGTGCTTCCAGTGTGGCTTACCGGTAGGCAGGGGTGAGGACTAGTCATGCCAGTACTTTGTTATCCAGCCTATCACCCAGTGACTTCAGGCTCTTGGTTAGCAGCAGCTCTCTCCCCTGCAGCATCCCACCTTCATCGCCACTATTGTGTAGTGGGCTTGAGTAGGCAAGAACCAGACCAGCATAGCTGAAACAGCATTTATTGACTCAAAAATGGAACCGAGAAACTGCAGACAAATGCCTGTTATTTATACTCTAGGTCGACAGGACCTTAACCAATCATAGAACTAGAAGAAGGCCGCCCAAATATAAATGTTTTAAATTTCTCTCTAAAACAGTTGGGGTCAGCTAAAGATCATTTTCACTTTAGCACAGTTAACAGTTACGGTCATCTAAAGGTTAGTTTCTCTTTAGCACAGTTAACAGGGTCATTTAAAGGTTAGTTTCACTTTAACACCACTATATACATTCAATACATAACACTCAGTGGTGAAATCTAAATTATTTTGCCACCGATTCTGTGGTGGTCATGTGACTGGGTGGGCATGGCCAACTTTTTTTTACTTTTTAAAACATTTTAACTAGTAAAAAATGCTTTAAAAAGTTTTTTTTAAAAAGGTTCCAATGATCAGCACCTGACCATCCTGACCCCTCTTGCCAAGCCAGACCCAAAGTTTTCTAGCCCAGAAGATTGCCCGCCTTTCCACTTCAGCCACCCAGTCTGGGAGATGACAGGGGGGGAGGGAGAAACAAAGCGCTTGGCTGCTCCCACTTTTCACTCACCCCGAGCTTCCTGCTGTGGATTTTCACGCCTTGTTTCACGCACCTAAGATTGTCACCCTCATCTTTTTCCTCCTCCTCTCCATCTTCCAAATGGAAAAATACCAGGAGCAAGCACAAAAAGAAGAGCATGCTTGAGGAAGCACACAGTGTGTGTGTGTGTGTGTGTGTGTGTGTGTGTGTGTGTGTGTGAGAGAGAGAGAGAGAGAGAGAGAGAGAGAGAGAGAGACTTTGCTCCTGGTCTTTCGTAGCTACCCATACCCGACATCCCATCCACGGCCACCTGAACTGGAGTTGCCCAGGCCAGGCTGGCTGAAGTTGCCCCCCGATCGCGCTCCTTGGGCAGTGGGTCCTTGGGGGAACTGCCTTGGGGGTCACGCGGTGTGACGGCTGATTTCTGCTGCTCTTAAAGGCCCTGAAGTGGATCTGGGCAATGCCATTCTGAGCCTGCCAGGGCCAACCACCGCCTCACCTGTTGTGCCTCCTGGGCAGTCAACTGGGAAGCCTTGGTTGTATCCCAAAGATTCTGAAGGGTTGTATCTTCATTTGTATTTTCTTTCAAGAAGAAATCCAACTTTCTTTCCATCCATTCTATATAAGAAGTAGAAACAAAATCTTAAAAGGTATCAGCCATAATCTGTGAACTGTGCTCAAAACAACTGTCTAAAAAAAATCCATAATTCAAAGTGAAATTCTTAACCATTATCAGATGCAAAAAAATGTGTAATAAAGTTTTCAGGATACTATAATAGTACTTTTTGGGAAACGTTAAAAACGTATTATTGATTTTATGACTAAATACATTTTCTTGAATGATTTTAGAAAGCTGCGTGTATTCACATACAGACACTGTTTAGAATAGGTAGTAGTCAGGATGTCTGCAGACATATTTATATTGGGCTGTTTAGATTGGCTACACCACTGTAATAATTTATAACAGTTTCAATGTAAACCTGCCATTGAGGAGGTCATAAAGGTCCTATATTTTAATCATCATCATGTGTGTGTGTGTGTGTCTATATATATATATATATATATATATATATATATATATATATATATATATATATATATATATATATATATATATATATATATATGTTTTATTTTAGCAGAACTACTTTACCACCACTTATTAATTCAAAATTTGGCCAATTCGTTGATGGCAAAAAAAAGACAAAGATTCAGTTACAAGGGCTTATTATGTCCCCAGAAAGCTAAAATAAACACATTAAAGATTCCTTCCACTACTCCCAAGTAATGGATGCAGAGCAAAAGCCTTTGAGCTGTATTTGGAATGTTTTCTACCATACAGACTTGGGGGAAATTGAAAGTGAAGGCACCTTTAAATATACAAGGAAAATATAGGTGGTAAGATGCCATATTTGCTTCCTAAAAGGCATTCTGAGATTTTACTACAGTTAGTTTTTCTTTTTTAAGTTATAAGCAATATCCCAAGAGGGTCTGTAAATTGCATGTACCTCCTAGGTTGTAATGGTATGCTGGCCTGCAAAGTTTCTCTAGATTAGATATCCTAATTTGCATAAACATGCTTGAAAACGGGGCTTTTAAAACCACAACATGATGAGATGAATAAGGAGACTACCCTGGGATCTATTTAGTTTCTTAAGATTAGTAGGTATTTTTAACATTGTCATGTTAAAATTAAAATTCATTGTCATTAATATGACTTCTGCAAGAGTAGTAAATGTCTGGAACACTCTACTGATCCTGTTTCTTAAGAGGTCCCTAAGGGGGCATGCATAAGCGCACCATAATTAATTAATTAATAAACAAACAAACAAATAAACAAACAAACAAACATTCATTTGGACATGGACCCAACTCTTGGATTGTACGGAATAGACCTAGATTATTATGCTGACAAGCATTCATAAGAAAGGCACCTGAAGTTGTGGGACAATGTTAAGTGTGGCACCCTTAGAAGATGACAGCAGGAAGCTCCAAACAGTTGCCTCAGGGCAGTTGGTGGTGTCAGTTCTGAAGACCCAAAGGGTTTCTGGGAGAGAAGTTTCAGGCTTCTAGTCTGCCACCGGCTGACTCAGCCCTGATTATTACAACCTGTTGACTGGTTCCAGTGGTGGGTTGCCCCCCGTTCGGACTGGTTCACAAGAACTGGTAGTAAAACTGGCGGGAGGCTCTGCCCACCACCCCAGATGTCATCATCGGTGATGCACAGTGTGCCCCTGAGTGAAGCAAGCCCGTTGCAAACCGGTAGTAAAGGTAAGTAGAACCCACCCCTGGCTGGTTCTAATAACAAAATAACAGAATATGAGTTGGAAGGGTCATTGGAGGTTTTCTAGTCCACCCCCCTACTCAAACAGGATTGTTTTTTATTTTATTACTCTTCTTTGCACTCTTTCCAGAATCTCAACATCTTTTTTGTATCATGGTGACCAAAACTGGACACAGTGTTTTAAGTGTAGTCTTACCAAGGCAATATAAAGCGGTACTAACATTTCATTTCATTTGATCTTGATTCTATCCCTCTGTTGATGCAGTAAAGGACAGCAATGGCTTTTTTGGCAGCTGCAGCACACTGCTGGCTCATATCTAAATGATTGTGCACTAGGACTCCTAGATTCCTTTCACAGTTACTGCTATTGATACAGTTACCATCTATTTTATATCTGTACATTTTGTTTTTCTTGCCTAAATGAAAAACCTTACTCTTCTTATCACTGAATTGCGTTTTGTTGGAAAGGAGATAGTGTTCCAGTCTGTCAAGATCCTTCTGCTACTTGAGCCTTTCTTCTAAAGTGTTGGCTATTCCTCCTAGTTCAGTGTTGTCTGCAAATCTGATTACTTCCTCTTCTATTCCCTCATCTAAATTGTTCATGAAGACGTTAAAAAGTACTGGGCCTAAGACAGAACCTTGAGGTAACCCACTGAATGTTTTTCTCCATATGTAGTTCCATTAAGGACTACATGTTGAGTATGGTTGGTCAGCCAGTTATGAATCCATCTGTTGGAGATGCAGTTTAACTCACATTTTTCTACCTTACCAAGATAAAAAAAAATCAATTTTTTAAATCCACCATCAACCTTTTATCCAGCACTTGAAGTTCTACATTTTAAAAAAAAATTTAAACTTGCAAATCACATACATGCTCCCATGCATTCATAGACACTTGAATAAATGCAAACAAGCTAACAACATATTTTGTTATTAAGGTTTTCTGTTTCAAAGCAGAAGGCTGGAGTGCCCACAGCAGTGGCTGAGAGCAGCACGGTGGACCAGCAGCAGCCGAGAGCAGTGTGGCAGAGCAACTGAGTAGTGGAGTTGCATTATGTATAAAAGATCATCTCTACAGAAATCCACAAAACCAAGGATGAAAACTTCTGTCAGACCTGCCCCAGTCACCCTCCTCAGGAAAGCAACACTTTTGAATCCATTGAGTTGAATCAAAAGAACTTTTACTTTTTCCGGAAGAAACCAGATGCAGTAAAGTCAAGCAGAATCTGAGATTCCTGTGCAAAGCGTAACATAATTCTTTAGGTTTCTTAGTCCCAACCCCCCCTGACCAGTCCACCAACAGCCAATGTAATGCTGAGAAGATGTTTTGAGACCACTGAGGTGCTAGGCAGATAACAGTTCACACTCGGGGCGTAACGGTCTTGGAACCTGGCAAAAACCGGCTGGGAAGAAGTCTGTCCCATCTCCAAAGACAGTCCCCCTCCCTAATTCCCAAGTGAACAACAGCAGTGGAAAAATCCTAAGTATGCAATCCCCCCTCCCCTGTTCCATAATGGCAGGACACCATAGAGCATGATGGTGGACCTAACATGCTGCCCCCCTGAACAGCGAGATTAGTTCTGCAGAACAAAAAATAACAAACAAGGAGAGAAGAGAGTTAAGAAAACAACTTATTTATGTTTATCAAGATATTGGTTATGAAAACATTTAAGAAACCTAGTAGATTTAACATGGTGTTGGTCAACCCATTCATTCTGAGATTCAAGAAAATCCTTCCAAGCAAATATTGAACCTTTCTCCAATGTCTGCAGGAGTCTAAAATGTCTCTAACCTCTAAATGTTGTTCCCCCTTTATCATTAAAGGCTCAGGTGGATGTGGCAACTCAGATTTGAGGGGAGAAGTGATCTTGATCTTTAACAAACTATAATAGACCACTGGGTGGATCCATTGAAGATAGATTTGGGGCAAACTCCACCTTGATAATGCGTTTGATGGGAAAGGGACCCACATACTTGGGTCCTAATTTTTTTGATGGTTACCAGAATTGCAGATTTCAGGTGAAAAGTAGATACAGTAATCAACATTAAAGTCTTTGGGTTTTATGCACTTTTTGTCAGCTTGCTTTTTATCTGCTTCCCTTGCATCTGCAAGGGCTTTCCTCATGACTGGCCAGGTATTCCGTAATTGGGAGACCCATTCTTTTAAGGAAGGCATGAAGTGGCATTCAAAGGCAGCTCAGGCATGGAAGTAAGTCTTGTCTTGTAGCCACTTTGAAAGGGGTGAATCTGGTACTATTATGTACCAAATTATTATATGCCACCTCCGCAAATGGTAAGAGGTCTTCCAGTTGTCTTGTTGGTAACTAATGTAGTACCTGAGATACTGTTCCAACATTGAATTTGGGGATGGTGATGGAGTTAAACCCTTGATCAATCCAGAGAAGGTTTAGAAACTTTTCCCAGAACTTGGAAGTGAATTGCACCCCCCCTATTGGAGATTATGCATTGTGGGGCTCCATGCAGTTGGTAGACATGTTGCACAAAAAGCTTGTGCAGCCACCAAAACTGTCTCTTATTTAGATGCAAAGTCTTAACAAAACAAAAATGCCACGCAGTTTTAGAATCATGGTATTTATCCAGGACCAGTAGTCTTTGACTTTCTGGTGCATACAATTTAGCCCCCACCTAAGCTAGTCCATCCCGTATGGAAAATTCATTCTTGTGACTTTGAAACCACTTGTCCTCCTGCAATGAAGCTTTAAGAGCTGCTGTTATATTGTTGTCTATCTGAGGTTTTTCTTTCGCTTATGTTTTGATTGTCACAGGGGTGGCCAGATGGCAAGATACAATTAATGGCTTGACTACATCTCACTTGGTGCAATTATACTGAGGCATTCATGACAGGGCATCAGCCAGGACATGTTTTTCCCCTGGGAGACAGCGTATCAGACTTGTTTGGGCAACAGCCTCTGCAGGGTTTTCAATGCCTCTAAATTTTTGTGGTCGATTCCAGTGGTGGGTTTCAAAAAATTTTACTACCGGTTCTGTGGGTGTGGCTTGGTGGGCAGGGCATGGCTTGGTGGGTGTTTCAGAAGAAGGATACTGTAAAATCTCCATTCCCACCCCATTCCAGGCAAAGGATACTGCAAAATCTCCATTTCCTCCTGATCAGCTGGGACTTGGAAGGCAGAGAATAAGTGGGGCCAATCAGAATTTTTACTATCGTTTCTCTGAACTACTCAAAATTTCCGCTACCGGTTCTCCAGAACTGGTCAGAACCTGCTGAAACCCACCTCTGATCCTATTTATTTATTTATTTATTTATTTATTTATTTATTTATTTATTTATTTTATTTCTATACCGCCCTTCTCCCGAAGGACTCAGGGCAGTGTACAGCCTAATTAAGAGCACAAAGACAGACAAAATTTAAAAATAATTAAAATTATTAAATAATTGGCTCAATTATAAAACCCCCAAATTTAAAATCCCATATTTAAAACCAATTAAAATCTTTACATTGATAGCCCAGCCTGGTGGAACAACAAGGTTTTGAGGGCGCAGCGAAATACACAGAGATCAGAGATCTTACGCATTTCTGGGGGCAGTTCATTCCAAAGGGCAGGGGCTCCCACAGAGAAGGCCCTCCCCCTGGGTGTCGTCAGCTGACATAATTTGGCCGATGGCACCCTGAGGAGACCCTCTCTGTGGGAACGGACTGGCCGGTGGGAGGCTACTGGTGACAGAAGACGGTCTCGAAGGTACCCAGGTCCAATGCCATGGAGTGCTTTAAAGGTGGTAACTAACACCTTGAATCGCACCCGGAAGACCACTGGGAGCCAGTGCAGCTCATGCAGGAGGGGTGTCACATGGGCACAATGAGTGCGGCCGCATTCTGGACCAGTTGGAGCCTCCAGGTGCTTTTCAAGGGGAGCCCCATGTAGAGAGCATTACAGTAGTCCAATCGGGAGGTGAAAAGGGTGCGAGGCATCTCGGTCCAAAAAGGGCTGCAACTGGCGAATCAGGCAAACCTGATAAAAAGCCCCCCTGGCCACGGCTGTTATTTCCCTCAGGGTTGCCCCACAGAAGCCTCTGCTATCCTTTCCCCTTTTCTCCCTCAGGCATCCCCCATAGAAGCCTATGCTATCCTATGCCCTTCTCTCCCTCAGGGTTGCCCCACAGAAGCCTCTGCTATCCTATGCCCTTCTCTCCCTCAAGCTTGCCCCACAGAAGCCTCTGCTATCTTATGCCCTTATTTCCCTCAGGCTTTCTCCACAGAAGCCTCTGCTATCCTTTCCCCTACTGTGTAGATGCACAGTTGCAGATTCCTTTGTTCATTCTGCTGCAAGAATACAGCCCCCCATCATTAGCGTCCACCTGGATGAAGGTTGGATCTGGATGGTTTAGAACAGGCTTAGCTGCAAACAAACATTTAAGCTTTTTGAATGCTACTTGGCACTCCAGAATCCACTTTAAAGGCTGACTGGGTTTAGGCTTGTCTTCTCTTTTTGTCTTTAAAAGGTTAGTGATGGGGAGTGAGATCTGGACAAAAGATGGGATAAATTGGTGGTAGAAATTGGTGAAACCCAAGAAGCTTTGCAGTTGTTTTCTGGTTCGGGTGGACCCCAATCCGGTACTGCCTGGACCTTTTGGGGGTCCATTTTGACTCCTCCTTGTGAGATGCAATAACCTAAATAGTCTATTTTACTCTGGTTGAACTCACATTTGATGGAATAGCTTCCCAGAC